TATGGAATACACTGAGATAATAAAATGGTTACCATAATTAAGCAAATTAACATGTGGAAAAATGTTAATATTTAAATCATAGGTTTTAAGTATGAGTGAATCATTTTTTACAACAGAAATATACTGAAAACAAATGAAATTTATTATTATTATTTCTCCCTAACAATAATGGCTATCACTCACTTCCTAGTATCTTCCTAGGCTCTGTTCCAATAATTTACATATATCATTTCCCTTCTACACAATAATTGGAAGAGGGTTTCATTATCCTCCACCTTACAGCTGAAGAAATCCAATATCTCAAAGATATGATCACATGCAGAGGACTACACAGAAATAGTGGATGACTCTACTTTTACACCTGGATGCCTGTATTATCTTAAAACTTTTGAGTTCTTACTCTTTACTTCTGCTTGGTTTTCATGGCTATCTAAAATTAGCTTTAATTTTTCCAAACCTCTCATTTGGTTAATTATTTTAAAATCCATACTTACAAATGCTCCAGAACCTCTTTGAAAAAACAAATAAAATTGATAAATCCTTAGCCTAATTAACGGAAGAGGGAAAAAAAAAGAACCCAAATTATTAAAATTTGTAATGAGAAAGTAAATATCACCACAAACACTAATAAAATACTAAGGATAATCAGAAACTATTCTGAAAATTTATATTCCACTAAATTAGAAAACCTTAAAGACATCAACAAATTTCTACAGACATATGACTTACCCAAATTAACCAGGAGGGCATAGAAAATTTAAACCTATCAATTTCAACTCATGAAATTGAAGATGCCATCAAAAGCCTACCAACAAAGAAAAGCGCAGGGCCTGATGGATTCTCGGCCGAGTTCTATAAGACCTTCAAAGAACTAACACCAATCTTCCTCAAATTATTCCACAAAATAGAAAAAGAGGGAACCCTTCCAAACTCATTCTATGAAGCTAGTAGCACCCTGATCCCCAAACCAGAAAAAGACACATCAAGGAGAGAAAACTCCAGAAAAATATCCCTATGAACATATATGTAAAAATTCTTAATAAAATTCTGGTAATTTGCATACAAAAACACATTAAAGATGTAGTGCACCATAAGTAAATGGGTTTCACCCCACTGACACAAGGTTGGTTCAACATACGGAAATCAATAAATGTAATTCACCATATCAATAAACTTAAAAACAAGAATCACATTATCTTAATAGATACAGAAAAGCATTTGACAAAATATAGCATCCATCTGTATTCAAAACACTAGAAACACTAGGGATAGTAGAAACATACCTCAACATTGTAAAAGCCATATATGTTAAATATAAGGCCAACATCATTCTAAATGGAGAAAAACTAAAGCATTCCCTCTAAAAACGGGAACAACACAGGGATGCTCTTTCAGCTCATCTATTCAACATACCCTTGAAACTCTATCCAGAGCAATTAGGCAAAAGAAAATTGCAGGGATACGAATAGGAAAAGAGAAACTTAAACTGTCCCTATATGCTAGTAACATGATCTTATATTTAGAAGGCCAAAAAAACTCCACCAGCAGGATATAAAATTAACACCCATAAATCAATTACATTCTATATAACAGTGATAAGTCAGCTAAAAGAAATTAGGAAAACTATCCCATTCACAACAGCCTCAAAAAAATAAAATAAAATATTTGGGATTCAATCTAACAAAAGAGGTGAAAGACCTCTACAATGAAAACTACAGAACACTAAAGAGAGAAACTAAAAAAGACCTCAGAAGATGGAAAGATCTCCCATGTTCTTGGATAGGCAGAATTAATAGTCAAAATGGCCATACTACCAAAAGCACTATACAGACTTAATACAATTCTTATTAAAATTCCAATGATGTTCTTCACAGAAATAGAAAAAGCAGTCATGAAATTCATTTTGAAAAACAGGAGGCCCAGAATAGCCAAACAATCTTTTATTAAATAAATACACACACATACACACACACACACACACACACACACACATATTCAGTTGTCGATGGACCTTTATTTTATTCATTTATTCATATGTGGTGCTGAGAATCAAACTCAGTGCCTCACACATGCTAGGCAAGTGCTCTACCACTAAGCCACAACTCCAGCCCCCAAAGCAATCTTTAGCAAGAAAAGTGAAGCAGGAGGCATCACAACACCAAACCTTACACTATACTATAGAGCTACGATAACAAAAACAGCATGGTTTGGCACCAACACAGGCATAAAGACCAACGAAACAGAAGACACAGACAAACCCACATATCTAATACTGGACAAAGGCACCAAAAATATACACTGGAGAATAGATACCCTCTTCAACAAATGGTGCTGGGAAAACTGGAAATTCATATGTAGCAGAATGAAATTTAATCTCATCTCTCACCCTGTACAAAATTTGACTCAAAGTTGATTACAGACCTAGGCTTTCCCTTCAGTAGATAAATGGATAAAGAAAATGTGGTATATATATACACAATGGAATATTATTCAACATTAAAAGAGAATAAAATCATGGCACTTGCAGGTAAATAAATGGAGCTGGAGAATATAATGCTAACTGAAATTAGCCAATCCCAAAAAACCAAATGCCTAATGATTTCTTGAATTTAAGGATGCTGGGGTGGGGTGGGGGGGAGATGGGGAGGATCAAATGAAAAGGGGAAGGGAGGGGCATAGGGGTAGGAAAGCCCGTAGAATGTGATGGTCATCATTACCCTAAGTACATGTATGAAGACACAAAGGATGTGACTCTACTTTGTGTATAACCAGAGATATGAAAAATTGTGCTCTATATGTGTAATATGAATTGTAATACATTCTGTTGTCATATATAACAAATTAAAATTAATTAATTAAATAAATAAAATTGTTTTTTGATAGACCCAACCTGATCTTTTATTAAAATTGGGAGCCATCTTGCCACAAAGCCATGAAAAGATAATTTCGGCTTTACTATAAATTACTGCAAACTCTGAACCTCCTTGGAATGCCTGCCCGTGTCTTGAACTCACCCATGCCTGGCTCTCTGACCAGATAGCAGCCCTCTCTGAAACTTTAGTGACACCTCATAAATATTGGCCTTCCCTGGCCATCCTCTCTGAGGCTCTAATGGTCCTCACAAATTCTGATGTTGGGGCCAGCAAAAAAAAATGTGTAAACTACCATTAGTATGATGCTTGTCAGAGTTCTGTTATCTGTAACACCCCTTTTGTGTAACTTTCTGGGCTATAAAGCTGGGCTGTAGGAAAGGTGGGGGCTGTCTTGTTCCCGCCATTTTGGGAGGGAGAGGCAGCCCGGCCAGTCGAAATAATAAGCTTGCTTTAATTTGATTTTTATTGGAGTCAGTGGTCTTTTCTTGCATCCTGGTCTAACATTTTCCTCACCAAAAAAAAAAAAAGACTTAGACATCGACCAGAAACCCTCTGCCTACTAAAAGAAAATATAGGCACAACACTCCAACATGTCCCCTTAGGAGCCAATTTCCTCAACAAGACTTCTAAAGTACAAGAAGTAAAATCAAAAATCAATAAATGGGATGGTATCAAACTAAAAGCTTGTTCACAGCAAAGGAAATAATAAAAGCATGAAGAAAGTGCCTACAGAATGGCAGAAAAATCTTTGTCACCCACACCCTCAGATAAGGCATTAATTTCCAGTATATACAAAGAACTCAAAAAGCTTAACACCAAAAAACAAAAAAACAAAAAAAAACCAGATGACCCAATCAATAAATGAATGGGCAAAGGAACTAAACAGACACTTCTCAAAAGAAGATACACAAATGGGCAACAGATACATGAAAAAATGTTCCAACATCTCTAGCAATTAAAGAAATGCAAATTAAAACTACACTGAGATTTTACCTCACTCCAGCCAGAACAGTAATTATCAAGAACACAAGAGGGCTGGGGTTGTGGCTCAGTGGTAGAGCACTCACCTAGCATGCATGAGGCACTGGCTCAGCACCACATAAAGTAAAATAAAGACATTGTGTCCACCTGTAACTAAAAAATAAAAAAATATATTAAAAAAAAAGAATACAAGAAACAGGGGTCTGGGGCTGCGTCTCAGTGGTAGAGTGCTTGCCTACCATGTGTGAGGCACTGGGTTCGACCCTCAGCACCACATAAAAATAAACAAATAAAATAAATGCATTCTGTCCATCTACAACAAAAAAAAAAAAAAAAAAGAAAAAGAATACAAGAAACTATAAATGTTGGCAAGGAAGTGGGGAAAAGGGTACACTCATACATTGCTGGTCGGACTGCAAATTGGTACAACCATCCTGGAAAGCACTATGGAGATTACTCAGAAAATTAGGAATGGATCCACCATCTGACCCGGTTATACTATTTCTTGGTGTATATTCAAAGGAGTTAAGGAGTCAAAATGAGTATACCATAGTGACACAGTCACATCAATGTTTAACTGCAGCTTAATTCACAAAAACTAAACTATGAAACCAACTGAGGTGCCCTTCAACAGCTGAATGGATAAAGAAAATGTGGTATATATACACAATGGAATATTACTCAGCCATAAAGAAGAATGAGTGTGACATTTGCCAGTGAATGGATGGATCTGAAGATTATTATGCTAAGTGAAATAGGCCAATTTCAAAAAAAAACAAAGGTGGAATGTTCTCTCTGATATGTGGATGCTAATACACAAGAAGGGAGGTGGGGAATAATAGAAGTTCAGTGGATTAGACAAAGGGGAAGAAAAGGGAGGGGGATAAGATTAGGAAAGGCAGTGGAATGAATCTGACATAATTTTCCTATGTACACATACAAATATATCACAGTGAAACTCCACATCATGTACAACCACAAGATTGGGATTCTGATTAGAATAAGCTATATTCCATGTTTGTAAAATATGTCAAAACTGACTCTACTGTCATGTATAACTAAAAAGAATAAAAAAAAAAAACTCCAGAACCTAAATCTCCAACCCTAATTTAGCAACATTAGTCATAAGTTAAAATTTTAACTTACATGTAAGTTTAATATGGTCTCTCTTTTGAAAACCAGGGATGATTTATTCATTCTCATTTTCTTGTAAATACTACCCTTTATTTCCATTTAAAGTTTTTAACTTTACTGTTCCAGCCTGAAAAGAAGAAAATACAGAAGTAGGCAAAAGGACTGTTACCACTTTTCAAATTTTAATACTAGCCACTATACTCATTTTACTCAGCAACTAACATCAAACCTATTCAAACAAACATAAGAGAGTGCTTTGACAGTTTACTGAAACAAAAGATCGCTACTTTAACATTTCCTCTTACTAAAAAATCCTAATTGAGCACATAATGTGTAACACTTTCTAGAACCCGGAAATCAAGCTGTAACACTATATTTAATGACCTGATATTCTATTCTAGCAAAGAAATTAAAGAAGCACACTCGCAATACCAAAATATACTGAGTTCTGCACAACTGTATAAAGTGAAACACTAGATTCAGGAATATTGTCAAAGTTAGGAAATTAAAGGACACGTTCAATGCGTTACAGAAAACGGAAACCACTTTCTAAAACTCACCAAGACAAAACTAATCGAAAGAACTTATTGCACACGCGCCACCGACAAGGCCAACGAGCCGGATTTCCGTGGGATTGAATGGCAATCCGATGCGCGGCGGATTTCCTCACTGCGGTTTACTAGGAGAGCCGCGTCCATCTCAGAACACGCGTAAAAGAAAGTCGCCCCGGAGGGGCTGTCCCCCGACCCGAGATCGGCAGGCTGTCCCGCAAGTCAGCCCCTTCGCGCGTGCCTCAAAAGAAGGAGCAGCGACTTCACCCCAGACGGCACGCGGGCCGCGCGACTTCCCCTCGGCAATCCGACCCTCGGAACCTTGGCTCACACCCCCACACAGGCCGCTCCCTCCAGCGCTCGCGCGGCCACCGCCTCCGTCGCCGTCCAGGGGTAAGTGCGAGCATCCGGGGCTGCTGCCGTGCTAGCCGCCTTCTCCATGGAAGCGTTGAGATAAACCTACCCAGGACGACCTCCAGCCCCACCGCGGCCGGGACCGAGGGCCACCGCCGAGGAGAACCTGGGCGCGACCGAGTGACGCCAAACTGCACGCGCGCACACGCGCAGTGCCGAGCCCCGCAGGCCCCGCCCCGCGGTGCCTCGACCAGCCGGTTCCGGCTTCTTCACCCGGCCGGGGTCAGCCAGGCGCGGGGGCTGGGAACTGGAAGGGATAAAGGTGGTAGGGAGTATTTTATGAAGTGACATTACTCCCCCCCCCGCCAAGATGATGAAAATATGAATTCTGTGCGGCGCTTATTTAAAATGCAAATTTCTAGGATTCAGCGTGCGCAGCTAAATTTGAAGCAGCGTCTCGAAGATGCAACTGGTACTCGGAAGCTGGCGAAGGGCGGGGCCGGGCAAGCTTGCTGGGGAGTGGGAGGGGCGTGGCCAAGGGAGCCAGGGCTGCATCTCAGGCGCCAGACACTTCTATTCCCAAAAGCTTACCGTCCGGGTCCCAAAATAGATGCAAGTTTGTGGTTTGGTAAAGTTGATGGGTGAATTTGTGACATTTGTCTTGCGACATTTGTAATAGAGATACATTTTTCACAAAATGCATAGGAAATTGTTAGGCAATCCCGCCTTAGCTTCTGCAATGGAGAAATTCCCTGGGACCGACCATCAAGGTTTCTTCCAAGAAATGCAAAGAACCTCATTCAAAAGAAGTTGGGAGGAGGATCAGCTCCAACTAGCTAAAAGTTGGAGGGTGAGATCTGCCAAAAGTCAATGATTCCTTGGTTACAGGTGTAAAGATCTCTTGGACTTTGTGATTAGATGCGAAAACGCTATTGTGCAATTTCAGTCATCTGGGTCGAGAATCTGAGTATAATGAATTATATTTTTATTGAGACAAAAACCAGCAAATGTAGTTTCTCCATTTCAGACAATGTATTGGGCTGTGTTCTAGACTATATGCAGAGCCCCTGTGGTTTTGGTATAGGTCACTATGCAGTTTCTAGTTTAAAAACTTTTAATCTGCTGTGATCTTGGCAACTACACAATTGTGCATCTTAGAACTGATTTTTTTTTTTTAAGCCCGGGGCCATTAGTGTCAGCTCTAGGTCATGACATTTGGATCTCCTTTTGGCTGGGTAAGGAACAGCATTCCTTACATTCCAAGTAGGATGAAAAGGGACCTTGGGTCCAGCTACCACTCCTAACATAAATCTAAATCTCTGTTGTCAATATTGAACTCAGGCTTTTTATGGGACCAAACCTTTTTTTTTTTTTTTAACTTTGTTTTTTTGAGACAGGTGTCACTAAATTGTCCAGGCTGGCCACAAACTTTGGATCTACTTGCCTCACTTCCCAAGTTTCTGGGATTACAGGCCAGTCGTGCACACCCAGCTCAAAGGACCTGTTTTGCTTATTTCTTTGGTCTCAGCCAGATTGACTTGATAACATTGTCAGATAAAGAATTACATTTAATATTAAAATATAACTGGAAGGTTGGTCTTTAATGATGTGGGTAGATTTACAGTATGGCTGACCTATCCCTTGAATCTGCATTGGCCTTGGGACTAGCTTTGAGCAGGAAAATGTGGTAGTTCTTAGCCTAAACAAAGATGAGATGAAGCCTGGACTGACCTGCAGGAAGAAGGGATCCTGTGGGGTCCCATCCAGACCTACTAGCTGACCCATAATTGAGACCCTGCAGGGATTGGGCCACATTGCTCCAAATTAGCAAAACTGCCCTAGTGATACATGGGCATATGAGAAAGAATGATTATCTTAAGCCACTCATTTTGAGATGGACTGGTAGGCAGCAATAACTAATAAAGATGGCAACAGACACCTCTAGAAGGTAGATGATTGTAATGAAAATAGTTGTTAGCTCATATGAACAGGAATGCTTAGTTCTAACATGTTAATTTAACCTAAGGAGACCAATATGATGCATGTTGTTTAAATGCCCACATCACTTCTCCAATACATAGTATTCTGTGAGTGTATCTCATGATCAAGCAGTGATCATGAGATACTTTTAAAGTTTTTAAAACTAATTTTTCCTCAAATATTTCTGATGGAATTCTGAAATGGCACAACTTCCTTGGAAAACAGGCTGATAGTTTCTTAAAAAGTTAAAACACATTCCCACCATAGGACCCAGAGGTTCTATTCCCAGGAATTTACCCAAAAGAATGAAAATATATATCCATGAAAAGACTTATGAATGAACATTCCATAGCAACTTTATTTGTAATAGTGAAAAAACTAGAAACAACCCAAATATTCAAATGTGAATGAATAAACAGATTGTTGGCATATCCATATAATAGAACACTACTCAGCAATATAATGGAATGAACTATTGATACATGCTGTAACATAGCTGAGTCTCAAAATAATTTTGCTAAGTGAAAAGCACCAGACCCAAAAAAGCAAAAAAGTAGTATATGCTAATTAATTACAGTTATATAAAAGTCTAGGAAATGGGAGCTAATATATAGTGATAGTAAACAGATTAAAGGTTGCATGGGAGTGGAAGGGAAAAAGAAGGCAGGATTACAGTGAGTCAAAAAGGGTGATGGATATGTTCAGTTCCACTGATATTTTCATTATACTTAATGATATAATGCTTTCATTATAGGACATATGACAAACCAAATTGTACACTTTATAAGTGTGTAGTTTATTATATGTGAATTAAATCTCCATAAAATTATTAAAATCTTGTCTTTGTTATAGAAACATTGGCAAGACTCCTTATTAAAATAGTATTTTTTTAAATCATGCGTTAGGAAATCAAATAGTTTTCTTATGTTTCTTAAATTGTTCCCCAGTTACTCTCTTTGGTTTTGATACCACAGAAACAAAATAGCAGAGCAGATGATTATTTTTTAACTCAACCCCCATCACTAAAGTTGCCTTTTGTCCTTTCAAAGGAAATTGTGGCATTCTCTATCATTTAACTTATTTTTTGGTGGTGTTGGGGATTGAACAGGGCCTTGTGTATGCTAGGCAAGTGTTCTAACACTGAGCTACAGCCCCAGGCCCCTCTGGAATTTAAAAACATTACTGTTATATAATATTTTTCAGTTAGCATTTGTTCATTCAAGGCTATACATGACCTCTAAATGTAGTGGGGCATTTTCCAGAATATTTAGTTGGAGGAATGGCAGGGAGAAAATGAAAAAGATAGGAATAACTCAAAGTGAATTTAGGTAGAACACTAGGATATTCATTAAAGGGCAGGAGTTGTTTTTTAATAATTGCCTCACCTGGTGAAATGGAAAATGTATGTGCTGAGCAGAATAATGCCCACCAATAGTGTCCACATCCTAATCCTTGGAACCTGTGATCATATTACATTACATAGCAAAAGGTGCTATGCAGATGTAATTAAGAATCTTGAAATGGGAAGATGATTCTGGATTGTCCGGGTAGGTCCAAAATAATCAGAGTTCCTTCTAAGGGGAGGACAGGAGGGACAAAGTTTTAAAAAAGAACCAACAATGGAAGAATTGTCAGAGATATGATGTTGCTGGTTTTGAAGGAAGAGGAGGGAGCCATAAGTCAAAGAATACAGGCAGTCTGTAGAAACTGAAAAGGACAGGGAATGGATTCTTCTCTGAGTCTCTGGAAGAATTAATCCTGCCAACACCCTGTAAAACCTGTGTTGGACTTCTGACCTCCTGACTATGATATAATAACTCACAAAGCTTGTGGTAACTTGTTAGTCACACAAAACTAGAGTGATTATTCTAAATTCAGTAGGAGGAAAACATACCAAGTCCTCCAGGCATCTTCACCAAATATAAAAAGATGCAATTTCATAGGCAACCTAGTTTAACGTTTCTTCCATCATATCAGTTATTTTATTCAGATTGATTGTGTTTCTTGCCTTGCACCTCCCCCATCCTGCTCACCCCAGTCCAGTTTTACTCCCAGTGCTAATATCCTCAGCTGAAATTAATCTCTCTCTCCTCTGAAATGCTAAGAGATATAGAAGTACTTAGATATTATACAACTGTTTCTTGACTATACCACCACCTCTCCAACTTAAAACCTTTTAGAAACTACATATCATGTGAAGTTCAAAATAATAGGTCTGTGAGTGTAACTCAGTAGTATTGTGCTTGCCTAGCATGTGCAAGGCCCTGGGTTTCCTCCTCAGTACACCCCCAAAATTAATTATTATAATGGTATATAAATAAGTGTGATTAATACTACAACAAATATGCCAACAGCATCACACTTAAGGGTTATCAGACAGGGACTTGACAGCAATAGAGGAACCCTAACAAGGTGCCAGGAAGGTAAGAATAGCTTGGTTTTCTGTGCTCCTCAGAACTAGATATCCAGCTCACACTTAACTATTGTGCCTAGCTGGCAGCTAGAACTAAAAGTTCCTTAGTAGAAATCAAATAGGGCTGAAGAATTTGCCATCCACACATTTCACAGCTGCCAAAAGCAATCTGAAAATAATTAGGCATACAAACATTCCTGATTTCAGTAGAAGTATACTTTGATCAAAATGTGTGTAATTAAAGTAAATCTGCCAGGCACAGTGGTGCATGCCTGTAATCCCAGTAGCTTGGGAGGCTGAGGCTGAAGGATGGCAAGTTCAAATTCAGCCTCAGCAATTTAGCCAGGCTCTAAGCAACTCAGCAAGACACTGTTTCTAAATAAAATATAGAAAAGGCCTGGAAATATGGCTTAGCCAGTGGTTAAACGCCCCTGTGTTCAATCCCTGGTATGTATGTATGTATGTATGTATGTATAAATAAATAAAAATAAATAAATATCTTTTTGGATAGAGCCTAAGGAAAAAAATCTTTACTCAAATTATTTTTTCTCATTTAATAAAATAACTGAGGTTGGGGTTATAATTCAGTGGAAAAGTGTGTATTTAGCATGTGTAAGGATCTGGGTTTGATCCTGGTACCAAAAACAAAATTATTGGACACTAGAAAAGGTTAATGACAAGATTTCTGATGATGTTCAGAGTACTAAAATGTGTTATGACTCTTTAATTTTTTTTTAAATATTTATTTATTTTTTTAGTTTTCAGCGGACACAACATCTTTGTCTGTATGTGGTGCTGAGGATCGAACCTGGGATTCACGCATGTCAGGCGAGCGCGCTACCGCTTGAGCCACATTCCCAGCCCGACTCTTTAATTTTTTATGGACTTAAAATATAAAATGACGTGTTACGCAACTCAAAAATGTGTAAAAGATTTGAATGTGGTAGCACATACCTGTAATCCCAGCTACTTGAGGGGCTAAGGCAGGAAGATCACAAGTTCAAGGACAGCATGGGCAACTTATTGAGACCTTGTCTCAAAATAAAAAAATAAAAAAGGCTAGGGGTATAGCTCAGTAGGAGATTGTCCCTGAGTTCAATCCCTACTACCAAAAAAAAAAAAAAAAAAAAGCCATATTAAAATAGAGCTGATGGGGATGGGGTTGTGGCTCAGCAGTAGAGTGCTCACCTAGCATGTGCGAGGCGCATAAAAATAAATAAAAGCACCACATAAAAATAAATAAATAAAGGCACTGTGTCCCACTACAACTAAAATTTTTTTTTAAATAGAGCTGGTTTTCTATAGTACTATCATTTAATTCAATCAGAAGATACGTCCTTCATATATGGATCTGCACCAAGACAGATGCACAAGCAGACATAATAGGAAAAATGTGAGGATCTGAGATGATTTGGAACCTGAGACTACAAAGAATTCCGAGCAAAGGGAAAAATCAACGAGTATTCCACTAGAAAGAAGTTATTTTATTTTAAAACACATACAGATTAATAAATATTATTGGAAAACTTAATAAATAGCCTTTTTATTTACATAAGGCAATAACAACATGCTATGACTATTTCTATAAAGCAAAACATAAGCAAATCTTAGTCATTGATAAATGTGTGTATGTATGTATGCTAATTGGAAGCTCCCCTGATACATTTACATGGAAAAACTTGAATGCAACCAATCAACATTTGACATTTTTAAAAATCTAGACTTCTTCCTCCTTTCATGATTATATTTTATAAGGAAATAATAGTTATACTTCAAAAAGCCAAGAACACTCAGGAATGCTATGAAAATCAACACTCTTAAACCTTGTAAAGTGCAAAAATACCGACGAGGTGGAGGGGTAAATTAATATTTCTGACAAATAAAAGAAACACTCTTGAGTTTTCAATGTGACCTTTTGGCACTAGTGGTTGGGGAGCTCCTGACATTCACCTGGTATCAGATAGTTGATCATCAGGGTTGAGCTGCTTGAAAGCAGAAAGTTTAGCATTATTCCTTACAAATTCAATGCAACAGAATCGATTGGTCACATAGATCATTAAACCTTCTGTAGAACACAGACTAAGCCAAACATCAGAGGAGCTCATTACCCCATCAGAATGTGAGCTTTCAGTGCAGTTTTAAAAGTCCTTGTTTAATTTCCATATTTTACAATAGAATATATAAAATCCTTCCTTAAAAAAAAGGAAAATTAAAGCTTTACAGAATCATGCAAACTTTATACCCAGTGTTTCCTTTACTTGCTTGGTGCTTGGAGCTACATGCTCTACAGCACCATCCTGAGCAGACTCCATGGTCAATGCAAACTGAGTTCTATCTACCATGTCATTTCCAGAGCAGTTCTGAGAATGGTGCTCTCATCTGAGACCATCAGAACACTACTAAAAGTGCTAGCATTTTAGGTACAATCAATTTGGAGAACCATCCCACCCCTTTGGAGGTAGAAAAACTGAGGCACAGAAAGGTTAAGCAACTCACCTATATTTGCACAATTCAGGGAAAATTAGAGAAAAGAAGAAATAAATCCTTCTCCCTGGCTCTCTGGGCCTTAGACTCTGCTTTTTAATTGCTTTGGGTACATTTGAAATAGATGTTTATTTACATGATCATTGTTCTACTGAATATCAACTTTTTAAACTAGACAGTGTTCTACTGAATATCAACTTTTTAAACTAGACAGTGTATTTTGATGTAACAGAAGTTACATTCTCTTAAAATAGAATTGTTTTGTTGCATTTGATAGCATATGAGAAATGTGTATGAAAAAAAAAAACGAGCAGTGGTATTAGGCCAAATTCTCATGCCTGTTCCTATAATTCTCAATCTTTTCAAGTATACATGGAGGTATAAGAATCTGGCCAGATGTGAAAAATCACCTATGAGCTAAAGGACAGACCCTCAAAATTCATCACCAGTAACAATTGTGGAATGGAAATGAGGAATACAAAAAATTGAGGTATTTTATATGATAAATTGGCTTGTGGAATGACTGGTATGCAAATTGGTCTTTTGCTAACTGAAGTTAACAGAATCTAGCTATGAATATGAGTAAGACATACAGAAAATGAACAGAGGTGTCACTGGTAGGAAGGTCAACACTAAAAAGATGATGATACATTTTTGGTCCCTGAGAAGACGGAACACCAACATTCCATCCAATCCTGCTTGATGAGTGAACAATGTCCTTGGTGTCAAACACTCTGAGAAAGATAACTCCTTCAGACCACAGAAGCTAATCCACAGTCATGAAGCATTCTCTTTCTAGTGTCTTACTGGGAACCCTAACCTGGACTTAGTAGGCATCAGAAAAGAGATACGGACATGGTTCTGTGAGCCATTGGAGCATCCTCTCTGCTCTTATGGATTACTGGAGCAGCTTGGGAAAGAGACAACGTTATTATCTCCTCCAAGAATTATATAGCAGGGGCTGGGGATGTAGCCAGAGGTAGAGCACTTGTCTGCTATGTGCCAGACCCTGGGTTCATTCCCCAGCACTGTGGAAAAAAAAAATATGCAGCAGGGCAGTGGTCTGTACTCATCAATACCTATTTCTGTTGACTGAGTGTTCGTCCACACCTGGGAGACACTGCATCTGAGTGCTTTACAGAAGTCTAGAAACTGGCCTCTAAAAGTTGAGCATAGTATTTACCAGGAGCTAAGCTGCCTAGGAAGAAGGAAGAGGAGCAGTAACTACCCATTTGAATAGTGTTTTCTTCTATCAGAAAAGAAATGTAAAACCCAAAGAAAACAACAAAGGCCAACATATTACTGCTGGAATTAACTTCTGGAAATAAACTGAGTATAACAAATTGGCTTAAGAAGTAGGAATTAAAAGAATATTTCTTATTGCTCAACAAAGAGCAGCAAAGTGTATTATATTAACATTCTAATATGAAATGACAGTCTGAGTGATAAGCAAAGCCACCAGAAAACCAGATTCCTCCCCAAAGGTCCTAGTATGGGCCTCACAGAAATGCCTTGGTTATGCAGATTGCAAAATGCTAGGATGGTATCCTTGGGCTAGGTTTATGTTAAGAATCCTAAATTGGTTCTATACTTGGTCAATAAGCAGAATAGAATTCACGTGAGAAAACAAGGCATTGTCCAAGTAGGAGAGAATAGCCTATTTAAGTATCTATCAAGAATAATTCTGAAAATTGTAATAAAAAACCTTTGATTTTAGAAAAAAACTTGAAAATAAATATACAGTAGATATTTTTCTTGGTTTTATCAGAGATAAATCAAAGAATAACATCATAATGAAAATGTTTCACAGGCTTTACTTTTGGAAAGACCTATAAGAGATCCATTTCCATATTAGGATCTCCTCTGAAACTCTCAATTTGGGGTCCTTTTTTCTTTGTATTTCCACGTTAATTACGAAAAAAGCAAATTTGTGAAATGATAGTAGAAATTTGAATTTATGTGCTTCATGTTAAATTTAGAACATCAGACCCTGGTCATGTCAATTACTCAGAGGCTACTGTCACACATATGAAAAACAATGAATGACATGAACTTTGTTTCACTGGAACAAAAGCTATGTATCCTGCTAAAGCAATCTACCAAATATATATAAACCTGGGAGATTCTGTTCCAGGATCAGTCACCTTCAGAAGAGCTATTAATACTGTGAGATTTTGTTTTAGTCTAAAAAAAAAATTATAGGGAATATCATCCAGAAATTCACAACTCTGAATATCCATGGGATAATTGTGGATTAAAATATAGAAAGGCACACCAATAGAGGCATTTAAATAAGCTTCATATGTAAGTTGCAGCAAAACATAATTTTTAAATTATGAACTTTCTTATATTCTTGAATAATTATGTGTTAATTCTTTCCCAAACATCTCCTTAACTAGAAAATTACTTTTGTGCCAAAATTACTGCAACTTTTAGTTCAATAAATGAAGGGTAATATTTCTAAAAATGCCAGTGTTAAAAAAATAACCTTAAAGAGCTGATGAAAGAGGAATGGACATTTGGAATATTTATTAACTACCAGTTAATATAAGATTTTTAAATTTTTTGAAATTATTTTGTTGCTGCTCTTCACAAATCACTGACAAACCAGGATCATCACATGTACTTTTAATTCATAAAGGTATATTTTTGCTTCATGTTAAACTAGTCTCATTTTATTTGGTCTCTTTGTTCAAAACTTTAGGGAGGTATTCCTTGGATTTTTACTTCAGAAATGTTCTTTTTGCCTGGAGAAAAACATCTTTTTAAAGTAACTATAGTTGGATATTATTAAATTTCAAGTTCTATTTCACCTAATCTACTTTACCCAGGCCCACCTTTCAATATAGCATAGTTCCCTATTCAGATAAAACACTGCATGTGAATCAGACAATATAGTGATGAAATTTTTGCATCACTTCGTGTTCTGCTCCAGTTTAATACACATGGGAGGTTGTTATGGACAGAAGAAAGATCTCTTTTATCCAAATGTTGGCATAATTAATTGCCATTTTACATTTAAGAATTGTTTTGTTTTGTTTCTGGCACGGGGAATCAAATCCAGAGCCTCATGTTCACTCAGGAAATTTAGTGAGATGCTGGGTGAGGAACTCAAGAATGTTCCACATCTGAAACAAGAAGATCAAAATGTTTCCATCTTTGTTAGAAACTCCTTTGAAACTATGTGTGTTCCAACTTGGTTCTGTATTAAAAAGGGTTCTCAACATATGTGCTATTAAACATTTTTTTCTCCTTTAATAGCCTTATTTTCAAGGCTGGATGGCCACAAATGCTTGCTGTGTATATATTTGATACTAGATCCCAATTACATAGGTTGAATGCAAATAAAATACCTCATGCTACTTAATCAATTGTCTTTACTTGGACAATAACTACATGCTAAATGGGTCAATCTGCTCATGTGCCTTTAGTTTTGACTCTCCTCCAATACACAATTATTTCTAATTGCTTTACAATTATTTATAATTTGAACATTGAAATGTTAAGGTATAACCAAGGAAGTGGCATTATTCTAATTTAAGAGAACATACAGTAGTAGTCAAATTAAGTGAATAATTCAAGTGATAAAGGCACTGAAATTGATTTGAGCTATTGAAAGGTCATCCTGCCAATGGAACACTGCATCACATTCATTAACTGTTCTCTCTCTATTTGCTATTAAAATGTCTTGGGTGGGTGCAGGAGAGAGCCTATTTGTTAGAGAATTAAAAACAATTCAATGTATATACCTCTTATGTGAATGAGGTACCTGAATGTTATACATGCTCAATGCAAACTAACACAACAACAGTCACATTTACTGTACAGAGCCAGATTTCAAGACAAGAATTTTTCTCATTTCCAGAGTAATCTTCTAATTAAGAACATCTGCTCTCCTGCAAAGACTAACCAGAAAGAGCCCATCTTTATTTACTCATTAAATCATGTTAAAATGTTTTAAAAGGAAAAAGTAGTCATGAAAGCTTCCAGGTTAATGGAAATGAAAATGAGATTCGTCTCATCAGAGAGAGATGATGCCCAGGCAACCACTGGGAGCATCAGGCTACAGAGGGCTGGGCCCCTGCTCTGCTGCTGAGCCAGGCTCCCCACTGTCCACTCGACCACCCATTAGTACACAGGCAATTCTCACATCAGGGATTGAGGGTCTCTTCTACTTCACATCCAATCAGGACCAGAGACCACCTCTGAGGCCTGTTCCTCAAGCCCCCAACCCCTGGTTGCATCCTAGTCTGTCTTCATATTGGATTTGTTCATTTCCCCAAGATTGAAATTGAACTCTTTGAACACCTGTATAAGGACAATCCCCACGGAGACCGTCGTGAATCCACAGGCCATGCCCAAGAAGTCCACCAGACCCACGTTGCTCCACTCCCGGAAGAGGATGGCTGAAGCCAGCAGGACAAGTGTGGTGAACACAACATAGTAGATGGCCCCGAACACGGAGGAGTCGAAGCACTCCAGAGCCTTGTTGATGTACCTGAATTGGACGATGATGCTGCAACCCAGCACAGCCAGGAGCACCAGGCACAAGCACAGGGCTCTCTGACTAGATGGGTTGTTGTGCAAGATGTCTTGGGCTGCCAGCCCAATGCCCTTGGTGGAAGGCACGGTGAAACTCCCCAGCAAGGAGCAGATGCTGATGTAGACCATGATGTTGGTGGGCCCATGGGCTGGGGCAATCCAAAAGATGAGCAGCAGCAACATGAGCAGCACGATGCACAGGTAGCCCACAAAGACTGCAAGACAGATGGCACACATTGACCTAGGCAGTCCCCCACTCAGTGACTACCCAAGGAGACAAAGCTGAGGCAGTGCCTGTGCTCCCACTAGCCACCCCTCTACTGTGGCAAGTGCACTTTCTTCATCATTATTTTTACCATTAAAACATTCATAGGGGCTGGGGATGTAGCTCAGCACTTGAGTGGCATGTAAAAGGCCCCAGGTTTGATGTCTGGCATGGTGCAGGGTTGGCTGGGTTCAGTATGCCTTGTACAGGTGTACCTGAGCATTTGCATTTTGCAAAGTAGCATCCTGCTACTTCTCCTTTATATTCAGTTAAGGCATTATACTGATTGCTTTAAAATTATGTGTATAGGAGGTTGTATTTTGCATGAATTTAATTCCCAAATTGTGAAGTTGTCCCTCACAGGGCTGGAAACTGCCTGGACATGCAAACTAGACCAGATAGGCAAACAAATCAACAAGTGTGAACATGCAACCCAAAAGACAGGCATTGGGAGCTTTGCCCCTCATGGATGAACTATGAAGACCTGCTCCTGGGGGGCCAACAGAGGGAGACTCTCCAGAGAAGGGACACTGGAAGGTCAGATGAAAGCTGCCTGGAAGTCTCATCTACAAATTAGGAAAGGCACAGTTAGGCTCATGCAAAAAGAAAATACTGCCCAACTTTGGACAGGTCTAGGGGATGGAACCCTAACTTATTTACATGTTTGGAAGCAACTTAAATATATGCAAGTGGGCAGGCACAGTGTCAGGAAAGCAGCAGGGCATAAACATGGAGAAGTCTGGGCAAGAGGGAATGCAAAGGGCTTTGATGCTGGGAAGGGCAAGTTCAGACAACATTTCAGATAAGTCCCAGGTATCAAGACAGCTGAGATGGCAGGGGTGGTGGCCAAGGAGGAAGTGGTGCCGAGGGGCAGGAAGAAAAGGGGAACAGGACAGGACTGAGCACACGAGCAGCCAGAGGGGATGCTGAACGACAAGCCTCAGCAGCTATGTGTGAGAACTGGGCTATGCAGAAATAAAAATGCATGGCCAGGAAAACCTATTTTCGTGTGATCATCACCTCTTATTTTTTTAAGGTTAGAGCAGGCACCAGATGCCCTTCAGCCTTGTGACACTTTCTTTACATCTGTGTTTCTCAAGCATTTATTTCATTATCACCCATATTAGGAACCACTTTCCACCTTTCTCCCATTTGTTCACCACTGTGAAATATCTGTATCATTGATTTACTATACAGCTGTTTATAATTGTATCTAAATATGTACTTTATAAATTGAAAGAGTGGTTTTTTTCACCTCCAAACATCAGTATTTGCTCTCTGAGGGTGATATTACCATCATTGAGAATGCATGCCTCACAATATTCACTCTTTATATTTATCTGTTTGTTTTTTTAGTGGTGCTGTGAATTAAACCCAGGGTCTCACATACTAAGTACATGCTCTAACACTGAGCTACACCCCAGTCCTGATATTTTCTCTTTGGAAAACATTCCACTACATTTCCCTCACTTCTACCCTCTTTGAATATGACAGAGCACATATCACTTATATAAAATATAAGTGATAATTTAAATTTCTTCTGAGGCAAAAATTCATCCTGTATTTTTACCTTTAGAAAAAAATATTAGAAAATCTATAAGGTAATAAGTGCCCAGAATAATACCATTTTATATTTTAGATTCTTTCACATTAAAAAGAAAATTTTTTTGCTATCATTTTATCTTCATACCTAATTTTTATTGTGACATATTATATATAATTTACAACTGTACATATAAATTCCAAACATGTAAATAAGTTAGGGCCTGATATATATTAGCATTATTCACATTTATCAAAAAGTTAGTAGCCATTGGGTATGTTCCTAAAATAAGTCCTTGAGAGCCCAGTGCTGTGGCAAAGCCTAAACTCACAGCTACAAAGGAGGCTCAGGCAAGAGAATTCCAGATTCAAATATAGTCTCAGCAACTGACCAATACCCTATCTCAAAATAAAAAAGGGCTGAGCTCAGTGATAAAGCATCCTTTTACCACTGAGTCAAATCCCTAGTACCACCACCACCACCAATAACAAAAGCCTTCAGGACACTCACATTTACTTCTGTAATCTTTCTCTGGTCTTTTCCTCCCTTCATCTTTGTACTTTTATATCTTACAGTGTCAAATATCATGGCTTTTATGGAAATAAATGAGTATCACAATGGTAAGAGTCTCACACTCCATAAGGAGACACAGACTTGGTTAATTTCACTATGATCCCTTTTTCAATTTTTTTAAAATGTTTATTTTTTTAGTTGTAGTTGGACACATTTATCAAAAAGTAAGTAGCCATTGGGTATGTTCTACAAATTAATAAAAAATAAATAAATAAAACAATATCTTTGTTTTATTTATTTATTTTTATGTGGTGCTGAGGATTGAACCCAGGGCCTCACATGTGCTAGGTAAGTGCTTTACCGCTGAGCCACAACCCTAGACCCCTTTTTCAATTTTCACAAATGTTTTTGTTGCTACTTTCATCACTTCTAATTGAAAGCTACAAAAGAGGGGTTCCCACATTTTGTGGCCTGGAGGCATCTGTGTGAAGGCAATTTTGTGTCACCACCTGTCTAAAATTGTTGGTAAGCAGCACAAGACGGTCTACTGGAAGAAATTTAGAAGTAATCTGTACTTAAGGCAGGTGTGTTTATGTAATGTTTTTTATTTGACAAAAAAATTAGAAATTATTATATGTCAAACACAAATATATGCACACACAACTGGGGTCTCTGCTCTCAATGCTGCACATCAGAGAGAAGCACTGAGTGGGGACAGAACAGAGTTGGCAGATCCTGGCTGCTGCCATTGGGACAACAGTTCAGGGAGGGAGCAAGGCTAGCTGGCCCACAGAAGGAACAATGCATGAAAAGAACCAGAAGAAACTGGATGGTACAGCTCCTAGCCCAGTCAGGAATCTGAGGGCAGGGGTGTGGAGGAGGGACAGTGGAGGAAGAGAGAGATTCTCAGAGGTCAGGAGAAGCCACTCATGGCTCTGGAATGAGCCATGCACCCAGTTGCAGAGGAAGCCCCTACAGGGATGAGGGCTGAGATAAGGCACTGGCTTGTCATTATGCTGAATGGTGGTCTGGGAGTGACCTTTGCACACATACCATGGCCAGCTAGGCTCAGGGCGGCTGCACAGCTGTGACTGGCTTGTACACACAGCCAAGTGATACACATGTACGTGAAGCACAAAGAATGCAAATCTGTGGACTAATTAGGGTGGATACAGGTTTGGCCTACAACACTGAAGTTGCCAGACTGGAGCCATGGCTTAGGAAATGTGAACTACTTGGGCAAACGCTCTTGCTCTTGGCTGCAAAGAAAGAGTTACCTGGATTAGTCAGCTTCTCCTCCAGCTCAGCCTGCGTTGTCACACTCTCAGACTTTGGGGAGTGGATAATCAGCACGACAGAACCTGCACAGCTCAGCAGACACCCCAACTTGCCCAGGATGTTGAGTTTTTCCTTCAGAAGATAAGAAGCTAAAATGGACCTTTGATTAAATAAAAGAAGTCATTACTGTTTAAATAAATCACATTATCCAACCTGTTTCTAGTAGGTGCAGATGCTTTTTATCTAGAAAACCCACATTTTTCTTTATCGCCATATTTTTATTTTTCATTTAGTTTGTTTTTGGTTCAGATTTTGGGGATTGAAACCAGAGTCTTGCAAAGGCTAAGCACATGTTTTACCATTAAACTACATTCATTTCCAGCCCATCATTTAGTTTATAAAAATAGAAAAAAAAAGGAGCAATAATAAATCCCTACTTTAAGAAATTATTGAAGCTTTTATTTCAACAAAAATTGAATTTTCATGCATAGTCAGTATACAGTTAATGGCATCTTAAAGTTGACCATTATATATTAGAATCCCAGTAGATATAAAATATATCAGAATAGAAAAAGAAGTTTAATAAGTGTCCCAAAACAAAAAAAAATATTATTTCCTTATTTATAAAAGTAAACAATAGGAAAAAAAAACAACCAAGTGGAAAAGTAGGTCACAAAATTGTCCAAATATACAAGTAATATATGATTTTTAAAAAAAAACAACTTACATTCACTTAAGTGAAAAATGCACATAACAGAAAAGAACTATAAAATTGCTAACAAAAATCACAATATTATAGGAGCATGGGTGATTATTTTTCTCTAATTCTTGAAATTTTAAAAACATGACATTACTTTTTTAAAAAATGTTTTTAGGTATAGATGAACGCAATAACCTTTACTTTATTTTTATGTGGTGTTGAGGATGGAACCCAGTACCTCATGAGTGCTAAGTGAGCACTCTACCACTGAGTCACAACCCCAGCCCCGTAGTTTTAAGTGGACACAATATCTTTATTTTACACTTATGTGGGGCTGAGGATAGAACTCAGTGAGCACTCTACCACTGAGCCATAACCCCAGCCCCCATATTACTCTTTTAAAGCAAAAAAAAAAAAAAAGAGTATAAATTTGTGAAACATCTATAACCTTCAAGCCTATAATGTATATCTTGTTTCTTGTTTCTCTCTGAAGGAAAACCTGGGCTTTCAGTAAGTCACAGTACTTACTGGTCATTTTTACACTGCTGGTGACTAGGCTAAGACTCTTGGGGAACATGAGCATCCAAGCAAATGACACACCAGGTTCATGAATGCACTGGATTATTATTTTTTCATCATTATTTTACAGATAAGGAAATAGGTTCAGAAAGGATCAGCACTGACTGTAAGGCCACAAAACTTATGGAAGGGTAGAAGAAATTTCTCTTATGCCCTCCAAGGTTCTCTGAAATGATCTGAAAATAGTTTAATAGCAAAAAAAAACATGTAAATTTATGGTATAGATTTTAAATGTCCCCCAAATGTCCACATATTGAAGGCTTGGTGCCCAGCCTGTGGTGCTGGGCCTAGTGGAAAGAAGTTAGGTCACTGAGGGCATGCTCTTGAAGGGGATATTGGGACTCTGGCCACCATAATGTGAGCAACTTCTTCTGCCCCATGCTTCCACCATGATGTACTGCCTTTCCACAGGCCCCAAAATAATGAAACCAGCCACTACAAACTAAAACCCCAGAGACTGTGAACCAAAATAAACTCTTCCTCTTAAGGGGGTTATCTCAGGTATTTTGTCACAGAAATGAAAAAGCTGACTAACATTAAGTGCATAAACAAAGAATCCACACAAATATGAAACTCAGAGAAATGACAGATGTTTGGAGCTCTACACCCTCTTCATAGAGGAGAGGGAAATGGGCAGAGGTGACTTAGAGTAAATGAATAAGCCTAAATGGCTTGGCAGAGGCAGCAAAGTTATAGGAAGTTGAGGGATAGAACTTCACTGCAAATACAAGTTGTCTTATGTAGATAAAGTCTCTCAGATAATCTCTTCAGCAACCCTTAGAAGAATAGATGAAAAATGTGTCTAGGCTTGGGGACAACTTTCAGACTCTCCTCTCCTCTTCTCCAGTGCTCATGTCTTCTGGATATCTGATGAGACACCTGGAGAAGGGGTTTAAGACAATTGCATTTTCTTTTCCAAAAGAGTCCTCTGTCAGATAAGTGAACTTCTGAGAAAGCATCTCTCTGTTCTCTGGGAAAGAAAGAGGATGAACAGGGACTGAGAGACTAAGAGGTGGGATGGCAACTGTGGGGAATCGATGAGTGAGATCTTAGGTCTGAGACTATTTCTCCAGCTCAGCGTGCCAAAGTATTCACACTTTAGGGTATCATTTTCTGAGCCCCAGCACCAAGATGTGAAATCATGGTGACGACACATTCATAGGGCCAAAGCTCCCATCTTCTGCCTTATACCACCTGTGCTCCTGTTCCTAGACACCTCTGACCTGAAGTAACCCCAAAAGTGCAAGTGGGGAAGTAAGCAACATCACTGAAAAAAAAAAAAAGAAAAAAGAAAGACTTGAGAATACGTGACTAGATGTTACACTGAGTGGCCCATGCAGCTGTCCAGAAAAATGGAAACTAGAGCAGTGTGAGGGTCACAGAGTAAGAACCCAGCCTGGAACTGGCCTGGAGGATGGGCAGACCAGGACAGTGGGGAGGAGAAAGCAGGGAGGCAGGCTGAGTCTGGACCAAACCATCTTATTCCACTGACTTTCTTGATGTCATCCTCTGAAGCACAAAGGTTTTTAATTCTGATGACATTCAATTTATCTTTCTTTTGTTCCTCATGCTTTTGTGCTTTAGGTGTCATAATCCAAAGTCACAAAGATTTAAACTCATTTCTTCTAAGTGTTTTATAGTGTGTCTCTTACATTTAGATCTTTGATCCATTTTCAGTTAATTTTTGTATAGTGAGTTAGGAGTACAACTACTCATTTGCATGTGGATATCCGATGACTCAGTACCATTTGTTTAAAAGATTATTCTTTCCTCACCGCACCCCTAGCAAAAATCAACCGACTATAAATGTGAGGGTGTACTTCTGAAATACACCCTATTCTATTAATTTACATGCTACCCTTATCCCAGCATCAGTTTTTGATTACTACAGTTTTGTAGGAAGTTTTGAAATTTTTAAATTCATCAAATAATGTATAGTCTTCAGAGTATGAGTTTTACAATTCTTTAAAAAAATTTTTTAGTTGTAGATGGACACAAAATGTTTATTTATTTATTTTTATGTGGTGCTAAGAATCGAACCCAGTGCCTCACATGTGTTAGCCAAGCACTCTACCACTGAGCTATAACCCCAGTTTTGCAATTCTTTTGTTAATTTGTTCTTATTTAATTAATTTTGGTGCTACTGTATATGGAACTATTTCCTTAGTTTCATTTTAGGCTCACTCAGTACTACTACTATATACAAATAGGACTGATTCCTACTTCTTAATCTGATTAATACATTAATCTTGTATCCAGCACCCTTTCCAAACTTACATTACTTCTAACAGTTTCTTAGTAGATTCCTTAGGATTCTCTATATACAAGAGCATGTCCTCTATCAACAGAGTCAGTTTACAGAGACAGTTTAATGTCTTTCTTTCCAATCTAGATGCCTTTTAATTCACCTATTTGCCTAATTGCTTTGTTTCTAACATGCAGTACGATGCTGAGCAAAGGTTGTAAAAGTGGACAGTTTGTCTTGTTTCTGTCTTAAGGAGAAAGTATCCAGTCTTTCCATTAAGAATGCATTCTTGGGATAAATGGCACTTGGTCATGGTGTGAAATTGTTTTCATATATTATTGGATCCAATTGGTTAGTATTTTGTTGAAGTCCTCTCCATCCATATTCCTAAAAGAAATGGTTTAATAGTTTTCTTATGATATCTTTGGCTTTGTTACTAGGAAAATAGTGGATTCTGTATGAGATGGGAAAGTTCCCTCCTCTTGTATTTTTAGAAGGATTTTAAGGAGTTGGTATTCTTTTTCGTTAGTATTCTTTTTCTTCTTCTCCTCCCTATTCTGTAGTGTGTATCAAATTCAGAGTCTCCCACATACCTAGGCAATCAACCACTCTCTGTCACTGAGTTACATCACCAACCCAAGAACTGATATTCTTTAAATGTCTGATAGAATACTCCAGTGAAACCTTCTCTGCCTTGATTTTTTTGTTGCAAGTTTTTTTCCATTACTAATTCTATTTACAAGTTATTATTCAGATTTTCTACTTCTTCTTAAAACAGAATAGTTTGTCTTTTACTAGGAATGTTTCCATTTAAGTTATCTAATGTTATAAATAAAATAAATAATTATTATTATTTGTCATGTTTGCATATAATCTGGTAGAAATGTTCCATACTTCAGTTTTGATTTTCTTTGGGGGCGCAGGAGTGGTGGTACTGGGGATTTAACTCAGCACTTAACCACTGAGCCATATCCCCAGCTCTTTTGATTATTATTTTTATTTGTTCCTTTTAGTTATACATAATAATAGAATGTACCAAAATACACACAAAATACATACATACATGGAGTAAAATTTCCCATTTTTGTGGCCATACATGATATGGAGAGTTACACTGGTTGTGTAATCATATATAGGTTTTGCTGCCTATATTTGGAATTCTGTTTTTAGGTGTATATTTCTTTACAACTGTTGTTATTTTCCAGATGCGCTGACTATCCTGTTACTATAAAATACCCCTTTTATCTTTAGTAAAAATTTTTATTTTACAGTCTATATTGTCTGCTATATAGCCTTTCCAACTTTCTTACGGTTACTGTTAGAATAATTTACATTTTTCCTTCATTTTTTTTCTTTTTTTATTTGTTCTTTTTAAGTTTTACATGTCAGTAGAATATATTTTGACATATTTATACTAACATGGAGTACATCTTATTCTAATTAGGATCCCATGGTGGTTATACATGAATGTAGAAATTCACTGTGGCATATTCATATATGTAAATGGGAAAGTTATGTCAGATTCATTCGACTGTCTTTCCTGTTCCTATCCCTGCTCCCTTCCCTTCATCTTCTTTGTCTAATGCACTAAACTTCTATTATTCTCCCCACTTGTTGTGTGTCAGCATCCATATAT